CACAACAGGGGGATCACACTCTTCGGCCTTCCTTGTAAGGTCTATACAGGGGTTCTGGAGAGGAGGGTCCATCGGATAGTTGAACCTCAGATTCAGGAGGAGCAATGTGGTTTTTGTCCTAGCCGTGGAGCACTGGACCAGCTCTATACCCTTAGGGGGATCCTGGAGGGTGTGTGGGCATTTGCCCAACCAATCTACATGTGTTTTGTGGATTTGGAGAAGGTGTTTGACTCGGGGGGCCCTGTGAGGGGTACTCCAGGAGTACGGGGTACCGGGCCCTCTGATACGGGCCGTTAGGTCCCTGTATGACCGGTGTCAGTGCTTGGTCCACACTGCGGCAGTAAGTCGGGCTCGTTCCCAGTGAGAGTTGGAGTGAAATGATTTGGAGCTCCTCATTCATGTCTTTGTGTCATCCCGTGTAGACTATTGTTATAGTTTATTTTCTAGTCTGAACAAAAAAGAGCTCCATTGTCTGTAACTAGTGCAAAACTCTGCTGCAAGAATCCTGACACGCACGAATAGGTTTCACATATCCCCCATCCTAAAGGAACTTCATTGGCCGCCTGTGTCTTTTAGGTTTAAGTTTAAGATTTTGGTTTTGGTTTTCAGAGCCCTGCAAGGACAAGCTCCCTCCTACATTAGAGAATCTATCCAACCCTACACCCCTATGCAGGCTCTGAGGAGTGGGGATCTTAATCTGCCTAAAGTTCCTCGCATTTACTATCGCACTAGAGGTGACCGTTCATTTGAAGCTGTAGCTCCTAAACTCTGGAATAACCTATCCCTCACTCTGCATTCTATTGATTCTGTCGACAAGTTCAAGAGTGAGCTTAAAACTCATTTATTTGTCCAGGCATTCGTCTAGTTATTTTAGGGCTGTTATGTTCTCTGTGTGGTCTTGGCCTTTTATGATATGATTTAATTTTTATTAATTGTTTTTATTCACTGTTTTTATTTTCGCATTTCTTGTTTAAACTTTTAAAATGTTGTCAAGCAGCTTGTGGCTTATGCCTGGGAAAGGTGCTATACAAATAAAGTTTACTTACTTAATCCGCCAAGGCTGCCCTTTGCCACCGATTCTGTTCATAACCTTTATGGACAGGATTTCTAGGTGCAGCAAAGGTGTTGAGGGCATTCGTTTTGGTGGCCTGAGGATCAGGTCTCTGCTTTTTGCAGATGATGTGGTTCTGTTGGCTTCATCAGAACGTGATCTTCAGCTTTCGCTGGAGCGGTTCACAGCCGAGTGTGAAGCAGCTGGGATGAGAATCAGCTCCTCTAAATCTGAGACCATGGTCTTCATTCAAAAATGGTAGAATGCCTTCTCCGGGTCAGGGATGAGGTCCTGCCCCAAGTGGAGGAGTTTAAGTATCTCTGGGTCTTGTTCACGAGTGAGGGAAAACTGGAGCGTGAGATCGATGGGCAGACTGGTTCTGCATCTGCAGTGATACGGGCATTGTATCGGTCTGTTGTAGTGGAGAGAGCTGAGTCAGAAGGCGAAGCTCTCGATTTACCGGTCGATCTACGTTCCTACCCTCACCTATGGTCATGAGCTTTGGGTAGTGACCGAAAGAACGAGATTGCGGATAAAAGCGGCTGAAATGAGTTTTCTCTGAAGAGTGGCGGGGCTCTCCCTTAGAGATAGGATGAGCAGGTCGGTCATCCGGGAGGGGCTCAGAGAAGATTCGCTGCTCCTCCACATCGAGAGGAGCCAGTTGAGGTGGCTCGGGCATCTGGTCAGGATGCCTCCTGGACGCCTCCCTAGTGAGGTTTTTCAGTCACGTCCAACCGGGAGGAGGCCTAAAGGAAGACACAGGACACGGTGGAGGGACTATGTCTCTCACCTGGCCAGGGAATGCCTTGGAATTTCCCCGGAGAAGCTGACCCAAGCGGCGGGGAAGAGGGAAGTCTGGGCCTCTCGATTTAAGCTACTGCCCCCACGCCCCGACTCCGGATAAGCGGATGAAAATGGATGGATGGATGGATAGATTACTTAAAATTTTTATTATTTTCTGTTTTCACAAATTTTACTCTCAAAAACCTTTAAAAAATACACATTTACTTTTAAAAGTAGTATTTCTCTTTCTTTAAACTATCCATCCATTCAATATCTTAACTGTGTCAGCCTTATCAGGGTCTCATGGGAGCTGGTGCCCACTTCCAGTGGTCATCAGGGGGACATCCTGGACAGGTCGCTAGTCCATCACAGGGACACAAAGAGGCAAACAACCAGTCTCTCACTCACTGACACCAAATTAGAGCCTCCAATAAAACTAATATTCATGATTTTGGTCAATGGGAGGAAATCAAAACACCTGCAGAAAACTCCTGCATGCATGGGAGAAAAAGCTTCTTCCATGAGAAAAACGGCAAAGGTCAAATTGGAACCAGCGCCCTTGCTGCTGCAAGGCAACAATGCAATCTGTCGCACCACCATGCAGCCCTTTTTGTACACAACCTAGGATTAGGGCTGGGCGATGTGGCCTAAAATTAAATATGACGATATATTGAAGGGTTCACCTTGATAAAGATAAATGGACGATGACTACAGGTATACACAGAAACAAAGGTTGTCCACTAGACGGGGCTGCTATCAATTTCTATCTCATCTATTTTTATATGTCCATGGCTGCTACATGTATTACACTGAGTCACATTTTTACATGACTTAAGGTGGTAGAGCTTCTTAAAGGGACATGAACATTGCCAACCTACACACATCTTTTCATTTTTTTTATTATCAAATTTATTGACATGTCAAAGATTATCTCGATAAGAGTCAAGAATTTCGATAATAAATTTTTGGTTTATTGTCCAGCCCTACCTAGAATTTAGTAAAACGTTTGAGGTCACTGGGACTTCTAATCCAGTTTGGTGTCATATGCTTGGGCAAACAAAAACTTTTCTATGAAATGACACTTGTCCTTTTCTTCTATTAAAATTTGAAACTTTCAGTTCAACATTCAAGTGGCACCCACATATGACAAAGCTGACGGCAAAATGGTGACATTTAGTTTCAAAGGTTGTTAAATGTTTAATCTTCTCTCGCAAATGTTTAGAGTTCTTTTCATCCAGAAAAAAAACTTTCCTTCTTTTTCAATATTCATTCTTCAAAGCCGTATTTAAGTCTAAGGGTGGCTATCACAGAGAACCATCCTCCAAGGCCGATGCTCTTTTTAAATTTGTGGGTTTTTTTTTTTTACTTTTAACATGCAAATCTAACGGGTGCATCCTTCACCGCTGTTCCACAATTTCACAAACAAAAATATAACTAGCACACAACACAACGTGTATTTCTATCTCAGCTATTGCCTTCGTGAAATACAAAGAGACTTTCTTCCTTGGCTGTATGACCCTAATGGGCTCTTGTACAGAAGAATGCCGGAGAGTACTGTAAGCAACCTTGAAACCACATCTCTGAAATAATAAGCTGAAAGCTTGTGCTTGACTCAAAAGGCGAAACTATGACACTTCAAAACTGCTGCCAAGGCAAAGCGTGCAACAAACAAAACAATGAATCAATGTAAGGAGCCACCTGGAGGGCTTACTCCAGAAAGTTCATTGCAGGCTTGCTTTTGCTGCAGGCAGTGATATCCAGGGCAGCCTGGGGAGTATCCAGGTCTATGAGCCCATTTGGCTGTGATATCCATTAAACTAACTGCTTTGCTATGGTAGACGAAACTAAATGAGTCAAACAGTAATTGTCTCCATACAAGTTCAGCAAACCAAGAGCACCATCTCATTTTCTAACATGAGCATGCAGTACTGCCTCTAAATGAAAAGAAGAAACAGTTTGGCTATTCTAAATGTAATAGGGAGAGATCATTAGCATAAAAGAGCTGAGGAAATCTACAACCGGACACCGTCATCAACTTGGGTGGTCATTGTTATTCAATAAAACATAAACAGAATCTTAATAATCATTTGTGACCTTTCCTTTTGGTTTTAAGCCTGGCCCTTTCCCTCCTGTCACCCTTTTATGATCAAGAACTTGGTATAATTTGCTCAGGAGACACAGCCCATAGCAAATTAAAATCTAAACCGACTGCTGTAAACCTTTGTTTTATTAGCTCAGACACGCTCAGTTAGCTAGCACTTTAGCCTTGCCCCTTTACAGTGTCCTATCAGGGGATGTAACTAGAAGAGTTTAATTTGAAATAGCCACTTCATATATTATGATGACAGCTGTAAGATCAGGTGGAACCAGGTTTATGGTCCATAAGGAATAACCTAACGTTATTCTTGATGCTTTTTTACTTCAGTTGAAGCTTTTCCAGAAATACTTTTCCCTTTCAGAAAAATGTCTGAGTTTTAGTTATAATTGAGTATGTTTGCATAAAATTTAGTGATGCACCAATATGAAATTTTAGGGCCAATACCAATATCCGATATTAAGATCACTGTTATGACCGATAACCGATATTTGCCAATACCGATATACTGACAATAATGTTTCTAAAATCAGCAGAATTGATATAGAATGAAAATTGTTAAAGCTGAATTTATGTTATTTTGTACACACAACACACACGTTTACGATAATGAGATTATTACAGTCACTGTTCACATGACTAAACAAATACACATCACCCCCTCACCCTCTGAAACAGGTAAACAAATGGAGACGAGATGGTAAAAAGATCGGTTGTTAATATCGGCCAGTTTTATTTATCGAACAGATATGCTAAAAAATGACTGACATCGCCCGATACCAATATTGATGCCAATGTATTGTCCATCCCTAATAAAATTAGTAAGTAATGACTTTTAACATAAATATGTGGGCAGGAGTTGGTGTTGGGTGTCCTCAGCTTGTCTTAGGTACAGGTAAGGGGATCATCAAGGAAAAAAGGTTAGGAACCACTGATATAGGAGATCTGTTTTACCACTACTTGTAAAATGAAGTGTTGGCTTTATTCTTATAGTTGGTTCGTAACATGATTGTAGCAGAAAGTTCATCTATAATATCATTAACAAGCTTGAAAATTTAATCTACTGCCTACCAGACAATCCGGTGTCACACATGCATGTGAAGGAGGTGGATGAAGTTTGAACACACTTCCCGTGTTCACAAATTTGGTCGCAGTTTTCTTTCCCAACAACTTCAGAGCAGTTGATGCCTAAAACAAACAGCACACTGGAAAGCTATTTAGGTGACATAGACAATAGTTTAGATTTGTTTTGCAGTTTAAGTGTTTATGATGACAATTAGGGCTGCACGATATTAGGAAAACCTGCGATATTCGATAACAGGGCTTAATATTGCGATATCGATATTACTCGCGATACATGAACAAATACTAACGTACGCAGTGTTGATGTCGTCTGGCGTGTGACGTCTGCTCTGGGTTCAAAGCAAACAAAAACGAATGCATGAATTCCATTACAACATAACATTTTTATTGCAAAAATATGCAGCTGCACCTGCTACTGTATTAGCAGCAAAAAACAAACTGTATGCATGCAGTTTCTCAGTGACTTTAAAACATCACCTCCACCATAAAACTTTTTCTGATGCTCCAAATACAGAAAAACATCCCTTACCAGGGTTTTTTGAATAAATGAAAAAAAAAAAATTTGAAAATTACTTTAAATGTTAAATAATAGTTAACATCACTTAAATGCAACAGCAAATTCTCTCATTGCTACTGAGCATTTTCTCCACTTATGTGGTTATGATATAAGGCTGTTGCTGTAATTGGGAAGTGATCTGTGCTGGGCCAAACTAGGAGAATATTAAGATTTTTTGAGGGAAGGAGAAAAATAATTGTCTACCTTTCAGAAGAGGAACTGGCAAAAAAACCTACATGGAAACTATGTGAAAACATTTGTTTTTAACCCCAAATTGAACAAGTTTACCTAGATCTTAAAAAGCAGCTCAGATGATGAAACTGCAACTATGATTCTGATAACAAGCTAACAAATTGAACTAAAACAACCGGCTAGCAGAGCTTCTGACTGACAGTTTATGTGCAGCAGCAAATCAACTATCCTGATTAACAAGGTTATAAAAGCTCATAATTGAAAAATCACTTTGATGAGTGGGGGAACTTTTCCGGGCCCTCTTTAGCAGGGTGGGACTGGGAGGAGAGTGCCGTAGCCTTTTAGCTGGAAGCTAACCGGAGCCTGGGGCTAACACCACCACCCGGTGGAACACTAGCGACATGGAGGTAGGTGGGTTGGTTCACCGGCACGTGTCGGAGACAGCCCGGTTATTGTCACCTGCGTAACGACACTGAGCGGACTCACATTCACGTTTGAAAGCAGTGCTGATTCCAGAAACCTCAGCACAAAGTGCGTTCGTTAATCTAAGCCAGCATGACGAACAAGGGAGGCGAGCGGCGACGGAAAGCGGGAGCGGAGCGGAGATAGTGGAATTTTGGGGTAAGGGTCTACGTAGGGGTCGGGCGTATTACGTGAACGGACCCATCTGATTGGCCGCATATCAGAGGGGCTACATTTGATTGGTCAAATAATACTTCCGCGTAAAAAACAGAGCTGGTTTACAAAAAGTTGATGTATGACACGGATGGAAATGTTTGAACCAAACATTTATCGCCGTTTTTGACGTGCTTTGCGATGGGTCTATCGCACGTCCTGTTATCGCGATGACGATAATTTTTCGATATATTGTGCAGCCCTAACCACAATATAAAATGATGCTTCAGAAAAAGACACATTAACACCTAGAAATAAGGAAAGAGTGATAGTGGTTGACCTGACATGTCTAATATATGAAAGAATGGCCGGGAAATATTTTCAGGTGTTTAAACTTATTAAAAATGTATTGTAGATCTTAAAGTGGTCAGCAAAGCTGTCATGATATTAGGGTCGTTTCCACTATAGGAAACGTGTGGCTCTATTTTACCATGCTGGCCCAAAAGGACATATTTCTGGGCAATTTCAGTGACCAACCAAACACCTGACCATGGGGTATGTGATCTGAAATGGCCCAGTAGAGTTGCTGGGCAGGACCTGTGGTTCATTCATGCTGATTGGTCGTAACTCACTAGGAAATGAAATTGGCAGACATCACCCAAAAAACTTTTTTTTTTAATTGGAAGAGGTGATGGGGAAGCGGAATAGAAGGATAAGAAAATAAGGAGACCGTAGGAGACCACGAATTGCCGTAACAAATGGCAATTCATCTGGTCATTGAACGCTGCGTTTTACATTACACAGCTGCTCTCCCAGTCTCCTGAATGGATTAAATCATTGCATACATAAACCGAATAAAGCTCTCAATGTTATTAATATTAGTGGATGCCTTTTGATGCCTATCAGTGACATCATGTACTTCGAAAATGGTTGAGATTTGCCGATGTCTTAGCAAAGTTCTAAAAGGGCCAATTTTGTATGGAGGTATAATGGCTAGCCCCGGTTTCACACTGGAGGCATCAGATGCGCTGAATGGCAGCGGAATGTCACTGCTTCAAATAGAATCCACTACAGTCTATGGAGTGTTTCAAACTAGCCGCGATGCCACAATTTGCAGGTGTGTCCCAGAAGTGGCACGCCACACCGCTAAAGTTAGGATCGTCAATTTCTGCAGTTAACAGTACTAGACAGGAAATCACACATGATTTCAGTGTAAATTTATCAGGAAATTTTAAAATAAAAGTACTGCAACAATGCAATTTAATGTATATGAAGCTTACGTGTGACCCAACAGCTTATTTACTCCCAGTATCGTTCCAGAAGTGCAGCGGTGTGTTTTTCATGACTTTATTCCTGGCAGTGGAGAAGAACAACATCATAAAAAAAGCTAAAAAAATTAGCATATCGTGACAAAGTTAATTATTTTCTGTAATTATTGATTAACATTAGACATTCATATATATTAGATTCATTACACACAACTGAAGTAGTTCAAACCTTTTATAGTTTCTAATATTGATGATTTTGGCATACAGCTCATGAAAACCCAAAATTCCTATCGCAAACAATTAGCATATCATGAAAAGGTTCTCTAAACAAGCTATTAACCTAATCATCTGAATCAACTAAGTAACTCTAAACACCTGCAAAAGATTTCTGAGGCTTTTAAAAACTCCCAGCCTGGTTCATTACTCAAAACCGCAATCATGGGCAAGACTGCCGACCTGACTGCTGTCCAGAAGGCCATCATTGACACCCTCAAGCAAGAGGGTCAGACACAGAAAGAAATTTCTGAACAAATAGGCTGTTCCCACAGAGCTGTATCAAGGCACCTCAGTGGGAAGTCTGTGGGAAGGAAAAAGTGTGGCAGAAAACGCTGCACAACGAGAAGAGGTGGCCGGACCCTGAGGAAGATTGTGGAGAATTACCGATTCCAGACCTTGGGGGACCTGCGAAAGCAGTGGACTGAGTCTGGAGTAGAAACATCCAGAGCCACCGTGTACAGGCGTGTGCAGGAAATGGGCTACAGGTGCCACATTCCCCAGCTCAAGCCACTTTTGAACCAGAAACAGCGGCAGAAGTGCCTGACCTGGGCTACAGAGAAGCAGCACTGGACTGTTGCTCAGTGGTCCAAAGTACTTTATTTTGGATGAAAGCTAATTTTGCATGTCATTCGGAAATCAAGGTGCCAGAGTCTGGAGGAAGACTGGGCAGAGGGAAATGCCAAAATGCCTGAAGTCCAGTGTTAAGTACCCACAGTCCGTGATGGTCTGGGGTGCCATGTCAGCTGCTGGTGTTGGTCCGCTGTGTTTTATCAAGGGCGGGGTCAATGCAGCTAGCTATCAGGAGATTTTGGTGCACTTCATGCTTCCATCCATTGAAAAGCTTTATGGAGAGGAAGATTTCATTTTTCAGCACGACCTGGCACCTGCTCACAGTGCCAAAACCACTGGTAAATGGTTTACTGACCATGGTATTACTGTGCTCAATTGGCCTGCCAATTCTCCTGACCTGAACCCCATAGAGAATCTGTGGGATGTTGTGAAGAGAAAGTTGAGAGACGCAGTACCCAACACTCTGAATGAGCTTAAGGCCGCTATCGAAGGCTCCATAACACCTCAGCAGTGCCACAGGCTGATTGCCTCCATGCCATGCAGTCATTTCTGCAAAAGGATTCACGACCAAGTATTGAGTGCATAACTGAACATAATGATTTGAAGGTTGACTTTTTTTGTATTAAAAACACTTTACTTTTATTGGTCGGATGAAATATGCAAATTTTTTGAGATAAGAATTTTGGGTTTTCATGAGCTGTATGTCAAAATCATCAATATTAGAAGCAATAAAAGGCTTTAACTACTTCAGTTGTAATGAATCTAATATATGAAAGTCTAATGTTTATCAGTACATTACAGACAATAATGAACTTTATCACAATATGCAAATTTTTTTAGAAGGACCTGTAGGATACAAAACTGCGATATGAAACGTGATTTCCCTCTTTTTGGTTTAATGGCGGATTGCATCAACAAACCGTGACCTGAAGTCTCGAGGAATCTTGTAATGTCGCGAGTCCAGCGAAGAGCACAGCAAGGAAGCCGTGCCGCTTCCAAGATTTTTCCAGCGTGAAAAGGACTGCTTTAAAGTTTGCAAGTAAATCATTCCGCTGTGGTTTTGCATGGCTGATGCTTCCAATGTGAAACCAGCATAAGAGGACAAAGCCATCATACCTTCCCCCTCCCAGAAATTTCCAACAACTCCTATAATGGAAATTTGGCGATTTTTACTTACCTGTAAAATGTGGTGGGCAGAGGCAACTGTAGGTCCTGTTGCTTGGATCTGTGGACCCGTTGCTCAAGCAGACTCCTTTGTTTTCACAAGGATTATTCATACAGACATCAAACTTTTCACAAAATCTTCCTGAGTAGTGGTGGCGGCATCGACAGTGGTACGCGCCCTTCCAGAAATCCGTTTGACACACTCCATTCCCCGAGCACAGTTGAATCAGAGGAGTGGCCTGGCAGAGCTGGGCTTTAACAGACACATTAAGCCTTAAACCAAGCTTGCACAACTGTGTGTCATCTTCGTGAAGCGCGATAAAATAATGATGACCTGGGACGATCCACTTGGCCTCCACTGGCTCGCTTTTATTCAAATTGTAGGGGAACAGAGACTGGTTTTGTAACTGTACGTTTACAGAGCAACTTTCAAAGCTTTCTTTTGACACATTGAGGATCCTGATGCCATATGACTCGAGGGTTTCATCAGCAGCCATCCACAGTTGGTCTCCATGTTGAAGCTGGTGCGGGCATATCTGTGGAAAGCTGAAAAGCTGCTCGCTGAAATTGATGCCCCCCTGAGAATCCCAGCACTCAGATCCGGTTTTACAGATGTTTCCTATTAAAGTCCAATTTATTTGGACTGTGTGCTTTTTAAGATGCCAGTCAAGAGAACCTTGTCTGGTGCATAAGGTTTGACACTGCACAACGTGGACAGCCACAAAAGCAGCAATCATTGGAAACAATGACGCCCACATCTTTCCCCTTTGTTGCAATTCACGTCTCATCAATCTCGAACCATTAGGATGTAGTTCATCAGGTTTATAAATGAGGCAATCACACAGAGTTGTGTAATGTTGTGTCGCTTCACAAGAATAGCTTCAACCTGGGGAAAGAAAAAAGGGAGATGAATACTTGCACAATGGCTGTATGAACAGGCTATGTCATGAGTCGGCTAAATTGTAATATTGTTGAAAAACCTCACCTTAATTTTTCATCCACTACATACTGACCAAGATAACTAATCCAAGGGTTCAGTGAAAGTATTTTATAGAAGTTGAGCTAATAATGGACCAACAAGCATGTAAGCATAGAGTTAAAGCTGGGGTACGTAGGTAAAAAATGTTAAAGTAACTTAAAAATGCTTAATTTTGACCATCTGACCCTGTTTTACGATATAAAGTAGGTAATATTTCAGAATTTATCTTTCCCTTAAGTGACTCCACCAAGGAATCATTTACTAAATCCCAGAGTGTTGACTAATAAAATTGTGTATCCACAAGAGGGAGCTGTCAATTAATGCGGCCCAGTTCCTAACATGCACTATGGCAGGGGTGTTCAACTGCGGGCCTGGAGGGTCGGTATCCAGCGCGTTTTAGTTTTAACTCTGTTTCAACACAAATGATGTGTTGATAATCAGCAGGCAATCAACAGGCTTCTGCAGTGCTTGATGAACTCTGGCACAAGTGATTCAACCACTGAATAAAAGTGTGTTGGAGCAGTGAAATCACTAAAACGTGCTGGATACCGGCCCTCCAGGCCCAGAATTGAATACCCCTGCACTACGAGGTGACACAGGCTCTGCACCCAGCCTACCACAGCAACCTAGCTTAAGAGCTAACTGGATTGAATTAGTCTGTGTAACGTGAGGAAATATGGGTTTTCTGTGCCAAAGGTTTCATTTGACTCGGCTGGGTCAAAGCTGGGTCGCGCAGAACTTTAACCCACTTTTGCCGACATGAAGTCTGCAAGAGTCTGCTGCAAACCATAACATCTGAACACCTGCAGTGCCAGAAGATGTGTTCCCATGGAAGCTAGTCATAACATAACAAAGTCTTAAACTTCCTTTTCTTTATTTTAAATAATCATTTTACCACTTTACTCATTATAAATGTATTTTAATCAAATGAATTATTATTATGCTTTGGTTAATCATAATAACTAATGAATCAATGCTTAATTAAATAATGTTTTGAGGATGTTTGGTAATGACCTTCACACACACAAACACTCACTCAAACACTCACACACACACAAACTCTCACAGTAAACTCCAAAACATATTTGCTCGGACGCACAAGTTTTGCTTTGAGAAGAGAAAGGCTTTTGGTAAGTTTTCAGTTCATGATTTAGTTCGAGTTTTGTCAACGAGAGAGTTACACGCACTTGGGGAAGGGAGCCTGCGGCTCCTGTCCCCCCCCCCCCCCCCCCCCCCCCCCCCCGTCACGCTGTTCCTGCCAAGCCAGACAGGATAGCTGAGTCGCAACCGCTAACGCAGACTCGTCCAGAGTCTCTGATTTTCTGAGTAAATTAAACTTAAGAAAGCGCATCTGCGAACGCTTTATCATCACATGTACCGAGGTCATCTCTGGGCCGGAGCGTCGGACACCTTCGTCTTCTCTGCCAGCCAAGGTGCCCTGGATGAAACATCGTCCTTTGACGTCCCGGGTCTAAAAGAGGGTCCGAATACAGTGAGGCAGTCCACGAGAGATAGCGTTTGATGCATCTTTTCCAACGAAACCTAAGTTTATTCAAACCATCACTTTTCACTCAGACACCTGTTTCTTCCTGAAGCAAAATCAGACGCACACACGCATTCATCTCACCTCATTTTCAATTTCACACATTCAACACAAGGTCTATTTGAGCAAGTTTAAAATATCAACTGTTAAAGATTGTTCAACAAAGTTGCCAATGTTGATTGTTGTTTCCTATGCTTGTCATTTCAAAATCATTAGTTTAATTTGAAGAATTAAAATTTTTAACTTTCAAACTTGTCTCTTCATTGAACTGAAACACAGACCCACGGATATTATCGACAGTTTATCGATGAAAACAACCTTTGAGTCTTCTTAAAACTATACAATTTGGTTATTAATTTATTACAAATTAATATCACAAATTAAAATGTAGGATGGTTCATCTTTCATAAAAGAGCCTAAACCATTACTCTACATCTGTAAGCTTCAAACTTATTTTGAAAGAAGTGAAAGAGGAGCGAAATGGGATTGATCTTTATAGGATGATTTCAAAATCTCCTCCTCCTCTCTGTAACGGAATGAAATGACTGTTTTTTCCCCTCCTCTGCACAGGACTAGTCTGCATGAGATGTAGGGTGTGTCAGAATCCACAGGAAGGATGCTTATGAGTACGGGTCCTCGCCGGTCTAGCAAGGCAGGGTCCTTTAAGACCACTAAAACCGGAAGTCAGCGGCTCTGAATTCGGTCAGTCTAGCCATCACCTCTACGGTGGCCCGTAGGTCCTGTCACAGCCGTGGCGGCAGCTACACGCAAAGGAAAAATGCTAAAGCTAGCGAAAATGGAGCAGGAATATTAAGGAGCTAGAACAGCTTCATGTCCATCAGCAGCGTTTGTTCACAAACGTTTTCAGGTAAAGTAACTTTGATTATTCTAGAAGATCTCAGGACTTACATGTTAACTTTAGATGGTTTCATGTATGTTTTAAGCTGCAGAATGAACTTGTTAAATGTACACAACACATTACCTACAGAGTATTATCATGTAGGTAATTAATATAAACCAAATGCATTATAAATGTTGAATGCAGTAGGATGTTTTCTAATGTAAATTGGACCTTAGAACTCATTTTGCATCAAATGGGGGTAAAATGCTTAAAAAACAGGCCTTTTAATAAAATAGCATTGAAGTGTTTTCAATGTGCATTTGTTTATTCAACTTAAGCCTAATAATGATTAGATCTGTCTGTTGCCTAAAAGTTTCAATCAATTTAATTACCGTCTTCGTCTTTTTCCAAGCTTTAATTTTGAAATTTTGTTTCATTTTCGTCTGTAAATATATTTGTGACGAAAAAAAGATGAAAATATTTTGTCAACAAAATTAACACAGGATCGGCAGAAGCTTTTCTGGTTCACGCCTCACTTTTTTTTTTTACAGCAGCGGCCCAAAACGATCTCCTAACACAGGGGTGTCAAACTCACACGGGGCTGAAATGAAACTCTGGGACAGAGTCGAGGGCCAAACTTAATATTTTTTGAAAAAGTTACGGCAAATTTGCACGTTTTCTTTATCAACATGTATGCAATTTTGAACCTTTAAATTTGGAAACAAACTTATTTCTTATCAACATGTATGCAATTTTGAACCTTTAAATTTGGAAACAAACTTATTTCTGCATTAACACTGAATGTGGAATAACCAAATTACACACGAGCAAGTCAGTTACAAATAAAACACATCAGTGGTATTCATTACTTGTGGTATATTCAGCATTTTTAAAATCTATTCAGGATTTATGTTTTCTTGTTTATTCATTTTTCTTATTTTTTATTCTCCTTTTTTTCTCCTGTAATAAGTGTCATCGCTGCTGTGACATCTAGCTTTCCCCACTGAGGAACAATAAAGGGATTTTCTATTCTATTTATCTATCTGCAGCCTTTCCACTTCCTGTTTACTGTAGGTTAAATCTTTTCTCACGGGCCAACAACAAAATAAAAAAATCAGTTTATCTTAAATGAAAATGCAACATCTCACCTGTTAACTTTCATGTTTTGGAGCAGAAAAAGAGCATAAAACCAACATATTTAAAGCTCAGTTTGCTCCACTGGTTGACTGTGATGCTCACCTGTTCCAGCCAGATACCTGCATCATGGGGTTGATCTGAGCTGAGGAGGAGACTCCTGTTGTTTTGTTCATCTTCATCATAATAATGACAACATTAGATGACAACAGGTGCTCACATAGGTTTGTGCTGATGAACATGTCTGAGCAGCTTGACCACGTTGTTGTGTGTCGGGGAGGAAACACAACGACAGCAACCACAGAGCCGTGCTGATTTGAGCGTGTCGCTGCTCGCTGGAGTTATATCAGCTCTGTCTGGACGTTAGTTTGAAAACTTTCTCTTTCAGTCGTGAACACATTACTGAGCGGCTAGAATCTCCGTTTCTGGGCTTCAACGTCAGAAAACAGCTGAGTGAACTCGGCGCTGAGTGAGAGGAGTGTAGTTTGTCCGAGACAGCGGAGCTGCAGACACCCAACTACCCCTGACTGCCTCGGCGCTGAAAAAACACAAAGGAGGGGGCACGTCGGCTCCGCGCTGGCACCGCAAAGCATCATGGGAGTTGTAGTCTTTGCGGTAAAATCGGCCAGCGGGCCAGTTTTAATATATTTTTGATATTTATCTCGCGGGCCACATAAAAATGAGTCTGACATATGTGTCCTAACACATGGACTTTCTGCTTCCTGATCACGTGACGTGTGACATATGCGGATGAAGATCGGCTTTAGAGCTGAGATGTTTTTTCTCACAATGCGGGGGCTCGTTCCGACGCCCACACAGTGAAAAAAATGTAAATGACGACTTTAGTCATCATTGGCAGCGAACGGTTGGATTTAAAATGACGACTTTAGCCGTCAATGGCTGTGAATGAGTTAATGTGTCACAGCAAAAAGGTGTTCTCAATGTATTGGTCCATCCAACAGATCCAAAGGTTGCCTATAGCCATGAGATTTAGATCCAAATGCAAAGTACAACTTTACAAAAAAAGAGTAGTCTCTTGGACAGGATAGCAGGACTCAGCTAAGGAAGGTCAGGGTAGAGCTGCTATTGCACCTACAGATCAAAAAGTTCCTGCTGAGGTTGTTCAGGCAGCTAATGTCTCCAGATCGCCACAATTTCATATTATTTTCTTACATAGGAGACCTCAGAGGGAAGACAGAAACTGAAACGGATTGAAATTAGAACAATCAGTGAAATGTTGAGTTTTCCTTAAGTAAATATTTCTTTTAAGTATCTGTTTACATAAAATGCTGATAAAAACGAATGATTTAGGCCTTTGTAAGGCATGCCCCATTACATAGGTGTAATTTAACCAGTCTTTCTTTGAATCTGAATGAAGGGACATTTAGA